AAATTCAACTATAGCTCCTTTTCTCGCGCGACTTTTTTCTTACATATCTCTTTCTCAATTCTATTATTTCTGTTTGCTGCTTCGTGAACTTGAGTTCGGCCGTGGATTACACGTTTTCGTGTGTAACGATATAGAATCGTAGAAGACTTGACCGACTTTAGTAGGCTTTGCTTGTATACTTAATTGCGTGTATATTTGTATATAAGTATTTATATTTCTACATACATGTAAATACAATGTGTGTGTGTTTGCGCGCGCATATATATTCGAGATATTCTTTTTGTGTCAATATCAAAACTTTCAAATCATGCGTATACAAAATAAATTAAATATTTAAAGAGCGAGTATACTACCAAAGTATCCACTTACAAGATGACTTTGTGCAATTGCTGTTTTTACATAACAATAACACAGTAACATTAAAGATAATTTTGGATGGAATAATAACGACTAAAATCTTTAGACTATGGCGACATTAATATTCTCTCTTTCATTATACGACTCAACATGATGACATATGTATCAATTTTCGGGTTGATACATTCGTGCTCTAGCATTTCGATCGAAATGCATTCAGCGCACGTTTTACTGTTATTAGGATGGAAACTCAACGTCGATAGCTGATTACACAAGCGACCACGCCAATAGACTGGACGAAACCTTTAGTATACAGTTTAGTTCGTTTTGTTGTCGATATTGAATCGATGACCGGAAATCACGCCTTGATTTGCCCTGATTAATGCGCGCACTATCTTAACTCTTCGACTTTTTTTACGCGAAATTTTACAGAACAATATGTTGCTACTTGTAATTCGATTGACATTGTACACGGCCGATCATGGACGAAAATATCGAGTTCTGAACTATAAAAGAACGAATTAACTTGCTTCGCGAAAGTGGCAAGTAAAAGCGATTAAAATTTTAGTACGTCTTCAGGACTAATATTACAATCAATATTTTTATTAAAATATAGTATGTTTTATAAAAGCAAATATTGTTGAATTATAGGATTCTTAAAGAGAAAAGAAGTAAAAAATCATTGTAATATTCATATCAAAGTTAATAAGACATGAACTTAGAAACTACGCGGAAAAAAAAAGATTTTAAAATTTTCATGAAGCATGAATAGTTACACAAAATATAAGATAAAACAAATTACATAAATAGCGATTGAGTATATCAGTATTAAATAATTTACACTAAAAGAGCACGTGTATACAGAGTGTCTGGAAATATAAACTTCGGGAAATAATTGGAGATTCAAAAAGAAGAAAAAACAGCTATATAAACATAGGACCAGAAATAAATTGTTACTAAGTTATAGCCCTTTTATGTTTAAAAATCGTAATTTTTTTCTTTGTACTCATAATTATAATAATTATAATTTATTTCATTGTATTTTAACATAAATAACTGTTGTGTTTTAACATAAATAATTTCATTTCGGACTATTTTGATAGAAGAATAAGAACCTGCTAAAGGTGGTCATTTTGAACATCATATTTAATTTGATTTAAATAACTGTTTACGTTTATCTTTAATTTTAAAGATAATGTAATTGTATTTACAAATATCGAAAAATTGAAAAAAACTTAAGAGATAAAAACTAAAAATTTAAAAATTTAAAAAATTAACAGTAAAAAATGAAAGATGCTAAAGCGAACATAAAAGTAGGTAGAACTCGAAAACGACTTATTATCGGACCTATGTTTATATAATATGTTTATATAACTTTTTTCTTCTTTTGGATCCTCAATCATTTCCAAAGTATTGCGGGCGATTTTCCAGATACCTTGTATGTATATTTACATACACACACGTGCGCGCGTATATGTGTAAGCTCTATTAAGAGAAAACTTTTATTTCAAAACCTTTTTTTTCTTCTCTTATATTATTATTATTTTTACCGATTGCGTATACACATCCCAAACATATTATATTCCATAACGTTTTGCATACTATGTGCAAACAAATGCATGGAGTGCATAAATTAGATCACAGCCGATTATGTGGCTACGTAAATTAAAATGAATGTTTTACTTCTAAAAGTTTGTTTCCTTCGACAAGCTAAACAGAGTAGTTTAATGAAATTAGCTTAAAACTTTTCTAATTAACTTGCTGCGACGCGCTTCTCGCTGGTCTGTATCTGAGAACGATAAAATATTCCACAGACTATCTCAATAGACTTATAAACGGTTAATGAACTACGATAGTTATCGTGTCACTAAAGAAAAATCTTTTTCTACGATGCGACAAAGATATTATCGGCCATACTTAGTGATGTGGTGTAACGTTTGTGTAATTAATTTTCATAAAAGTAATATTATATTTAACAAAATACAGTGAAAATATATAAGGAGCTGAAGTTATGAAAACATTTTGGACGGGTAAAAAATCACTTCTATAATCAGCAAACAGAATCCACCGACGTAACCTATGATCAGAAGAAGAAAGGCTGGCACCAAATCCATAATGTCGACTGAATCGTCCTCTTCATCGTCGTGCGTGTGATGACTGTCGTTTAACGCTGCCATATCTGACCAGTATTCTACAATACCAGCTTGAACCAGCACTTGAATCTTGAAATTAAACTCGCCCAAGTACGGGAAACCATGCCAAGTGGCGAGAGCTAACGGATAACTGCCCACGGTTTCTTTTAGAATGTGAGCGTGTCCCACATTGATTATATGACGAATATCCGTCAGATTTAACATCACAAGAAGAGCCAAAGTGGTGTTTTTTCCCTCTATGATATCTGTAATGTGCTCGATGTAATCATGTTGCTTAAATGTGATGTAATTCTTGCGAATCGTTCGTTTGATGTTGTCGTCGTCGCCTTTGTCAGGTTGAAACAAATGCAAAAATCGATTGGTTCCGCCTACTTGCAGTCCCGAATTGACTATCTCTTCCATAGTTTCCATTTGAAGATCCGATACTCTCATTAGCTGATCGGCTAGCGATCCTAGATAAAGTTGCATGAGAAAGAAACCGAACAATACCCACGATATAAACTGAATTCTGCTAGAGAGTTTCGCCGGTTGGCGCACGGATACACCAAGAATCAAGCCTGTAATATCCAGGAATGTAATGTCGCGGATAATAAAAAGTTTCACAAGTGCGCCGACGATCAGCACACAAATTGTGGCATACCAAACGTTCGAACCGAATGGAGTGATGAGACCGTACAAAGAAACATTTGTCGTTTTTGGTACGATCCATGTGACATGCACCATACCGTAACAAGTCGTGTATTCTGATCTCTGGCCGGAATGTGATTGTGGCCCAAAGGACCACAGCAGACCGCCGAACACTAAATCGTCGGTTGCGTTGAAAAGTCTCTTGTACAGCTCGTCGTTCGTATCGGTTTTATTTGTCCATTCTATCACTTCTCTCTTCAGTTCGACTTTCATGCTACGCGCTATCTCCTCTACCATTGTGCCCTCAATTCCTTGGAATTTCAAATGTTTTGTACTGTTGGTGTAAAGCGCGTACGGGAAGTTCTCGAACATCGCGACATGTATGGAAGAGTCAAGCAATTTTATTTTATTCGTAAAACTTTGTCTCTGAATTGCTGTAGCTTCCTGCACGCATCTATTCATGATTGTCGGTTCCGCTGGCGCGTACAGCCCGTCAATCCGGATCGGCAGGCTGCCGGCAGACAACACTGAGTCCTCAACTGACGCCAATATTGCAAGTTTAAAAATTGATTGCGACCACATTTGTTGTACTATCAGATCGGCTTCCGCTAGGAAGCTTTCTTCATCATTGAACGGATTAGTCAGCACTATCACAATGTCGCAGTCGCGCCTGCAGTAGTTCATAAAATAGGAATCGTTCCTCTCGAGCGCAATCGCGCTCTCTGACAGAATAACGGTATCTGTCGAGGAGTCGTACGTTTCCATGATATCTATCATTCCCGCGTTCAACGTGTAGACAGCGCTTTGCGTGCGTAATTTGCTTACGAACGGCTCCACAACGTCAGAAATGTTTTGCACTACGTCTGGCAGAAACAACGATATTCGATCCGGATATTCGAAGTATTCTTCGATAAATGTAATCGTGCAGGGTATTAACTTCAGCGATTTGTCACGGTGATTTTGACGTTCTCTAATGTTCTCCAGAATAATGGATTGCTCAGACACTACGACAAAAGCAACGGATACCAGTATGATAAGACGGAAACAGAAAAATAAATAATTTTGCAGTCGGTGTAAAACATACGAATTATCAAATAAACCGAATTTAATTTTATCCATATTGCTCCGCACTTCCTTATGCTCGTTGCTCGTGCTGCAGCTCAACTACTTGGAAACGCATCGTACATTCTACTAATCAAGAACTCGCGCGTTCTGGGAAAATGTAAAGTGTAGTTTAAATGGATAAAAATGAAAAAAAGTGGATAAATATGCGCGACGTTCGTGTATTTAAATAGAAAGACAAACTGTTTATTGTGTGAATCATATGATTATCGTGCATATTATTTATCTATATTATATATATACAGTATATTTGCAATAATATGTAAGTTATTGAAAATATTTGAAATATCAGCTAGTATACAAATAGACAAAATTAAATATTAAAACATGATAATTCATTATTAATGAATTTAATTAGATTTGGTGATTGCTTTTTTCTGTACGACACATTGAAAACGCATACAATACATATATGCAAAACGCATCGATCGCATGTCACATTTTTATCACCGTGGCCTTTATGCAAATATTCGTACACACGATACTTGAAAAAATGTGGCAGTCATGCAATCTCAATGTTAAACTATACTTGACGTCACGACATTATATCCTAACATTGCGCAAAACGTACTTGTCATCGCATAGCACAAGTTTAATGAAGACATTGATTTGTTTACAGCAGAGTTACATAATTTAATAAAATATTTCTATATATTACAACTTATTTTGTCGCTGCGTTGTCTAAAATATATGCAGCTAAACAGATATCTGCAAAATATACATTATGTTCTTTGTTTTCAGAGCTTTCGTCAGGATTCTGTGTTATTGTTGTCCCAGACGAATGAAACGACGGTATCAACCGGCATTCAGATGTAAACATAAAAGCCAGGTGAGTTTATGTTGTGTTAGTAATAAATAACATAAAATCAAATCACCACTTTTAATATACAAGATGTCTAAAACTTTTTGATATAGCCAAAGTGTAAAGATAGATTGGATTAATCATAAAAGTCATGTATCAATTTGCAAACTTTGCAATAATTATTAAGATATCAAGTAAGTAATGAGTCAGTAAAAGCGCGAGTCAATGGAAAGCGGAATTTGCTAGACTTTTTAGACATGTACAAAACCGTGTGAGTTGTAGTTGTAAAGACAAAAATTGCTTACTTTGTATAATCTTCTAGTAACCAGAAGAAAAGTAACGCAGCAAGTGACGTGTGGCAAGGTTTCTTGCAGCTGGTATTGATTTATTGATTTTCTAAAAATCTTTTGGTTGTTTTATACGCTTATAGAATCCGGATCATTATTTCTCACACGCTCATTAGCTCATATTAATAACACAGGCACACAAAAAAAAAATTTTCGGGCCCACAGACCAGACCACTCATTCTATATGTATTTTGAGACGCTGAATTCATTTCCGTAGTCAGTTTACCCTCACCACGTCAGAGTGAAGAAAAAATGCGTGATACTTTATTTTTTTCTATGATAGCGTATCCGCTTGCTTTCAAAAGATCTGTGTATTGAATTTCGTTTACGTTTAATTCCTCTATTTTTACAATCTCTTTTCATCGTCCAGCAGTAGTCTGCCATCATATTGACATCCCACCTGCCTTGGTATCTTCTCTCTATTTCTTTAATATCTTGGCAAGCGGGTACGCTATCATAAAAAAAAAAATAAAGTATCACGCATTTTTTCAAAAACTCTGACGTGGCGGGGTAAACTGACTCCAGAAATGGATTCGATGATCCAAAAAATATATAAAATTAGAATTGAAAGTACGAATTTATTTGATACTGGTTTTTGTGCCGCAAAAAATGCAAATTTAGTGATTTTTCGGGTATTTTTTGAGTTTTGCTAAAAATCCTGACGTGGTGGGGGTAAACTGACTACGGAAATGGATTTAGCGTCTCAAAATAAAATAATATAGAATAAGTGGTCTGGTCTGTGGGCCCGAACATTTTTTTGTATGCCTGTGTAATTAATTTAATTAATTAATAACTTAATCCTTTCGCTATACGACGAAAATGACCGTCATTACGCCACTACGAGATTCCGCCATAAGCGTAAAGTTATCGTGCGGATATATATAAGCGTATAGATCCGTGAACAATTATCATATAATTAAAAAAGGCTATAATAAAAACAAATAATAAGAAAAACAAATAATAATAATAACAAATAATAATAACAAAAAAAGAACAAAATATAAATCTATATCTTTTATTTTAATAAGCAAGTGCTATTATACTACAGTATCAAGCTGCTTTTGAAACCTTGATGAAGTGAGTTGAAATGTTCACGAAACGTCGGTATAAATATGACACTACCGTGGTTCAAACCCGAAAAACATCTTTAAATGTTAATACAACACGCCACGAAAGCATCAAATATCAGAAGCAACGAAGCTATGTATCGGGCGACTATAGTCGTCCGTACATGAAAATTGTTTCATGGCGAGCGACAATAGTCGTCTGTGGCATCTGAATAACGAGTAATCATAGTCAACCATAGTCGTAGTAGCGAAGAATTAGTAAATATTGTAAATTTCGTAAAGTGTTACATAAGTTTTTTGTTCTATCTATACAACCTAATCTATTTTACACTTTAGCTGTGTCTAAAAGTTTCAAACATCCTACACATGTAACAAGCATAAATAGAAAAACAACCGAACAAAGCGACGCCACCTCATATCAAAATCATGTTAAGAATTCGAACGGCACAGGATAATTAACGTTAATTGTCAGATACGAAAGAGCTAGATATCCATTGTATTACTGTTTTCAGAAATTCGTATCCGGACGGTTCTACTCCGCGTATTCGCTCCATCAGATACGGGGAAGTCGAGAAAATTCCGGCGAGCAAACCTACATTTAACAACGGAATACCATTGCGAGAGCTGGTTGTCGTCGGTCGTTGATCGTGAACTCCCGAGATCCTTTCTTTATTTTTATTTACATCGTTTTTCTTCCGTTCCTGATGCAATAACATAAATGAAGTAGTATAGTTTAGTAACTGCTTCCACGAAAAATCAAGATCCTGTGTATCCGTTTTCCAATATCCTTACTAATATAAAAGATCAACGAACATCAACGAATTCGACATGTTCTCGTAGAATATTAATTTTCGGTATGTCTACAAATAAATGTGTGTGACACTTGATATCGAACACGCACTTGCACATGGCACTACTGTACATTATTTCTAAGGATGCACTTTCTTAATATTATTAATAATACTATTCTTTTAATAAAATAATAGTATTATTTTAAATAAAACAATATGCTTTTTGCTGCTTTTTTACAATTTAAAATAATAAAATTACAATATTACGTAATAAAAACTATATATGCTAAAAATGTATGTGTCACAAGTATATGTATAATGACAGTTATAAGTACAAGCATAAATAGAAAAACAACTGAACGAAGTGACGCCATCTTGAAGCGCACAATAAAAATCACCATACTGATATAATTGGTATATAGTTTACTATACCTTTGTTCAAAATTATTAGTAAACGTCTCCCTGTTCGCTCATAATACATATTAACTATATAAAATAATCCAGAAGAACAAATCCCATGTGAAATCATAATTATTATGGATCTAGATCATAATAATTGGACGAAGTCGTTGTCGATATCGGGAATTGACAAAAAATTTAAAATAAACTGCGCAAGAGTAAACACAATTATAACTTTCTGTAACGTAAACACAATTTTACAGGTAGAAAGATGTAATTTGAAACACAAATCAAGATCTAAACAAAATACAAACGGTATTTTGAAACGCATTTTATTTAATATGCCGTGTATTTGAAGAAACTTTCTCTGTGAGAGTTTGTTTGTAATCATGAACCATAAAGTGCTCCGCTTTTGACAGATATAAAAGTTTGATGACATAAAAAGAGAATGCGCAATACTTGTGCATTAGTACCAGTACTTTTCCGACGTTCACTATATCCGTCTTTTTATCAAAAATTGTTTTCTCAAACATAATATATTTCAAATTAATAATAAACAAAAAAAAGATTCTTCGGGCTCCGGAGTTATAATATATTTTGTTATTTAAACTTTCATATTTTTATGTTAATTTTGTTTGAGAATATTTTTCTAGTCGTGTATATTTTTAAACGTGCATGGTATATGTCAAAGACACACACACATACACACAAATGTATGTACCATACTTATATATGCTGACAATGATTGATACATGATGGTCACGATTTATATATATATATATATATATATATATATGTATATAAATTATATCGATTTTTTTAAATATACATACATACACATATCGGTGCCAAAAAAGATCGCACTAAATTACGAGATGTAAAGTTAATGGCTACTGTTGTCCTTGTATGAAAAATCTGAAATAAACATAGGATGGTGCGACCTCGTATTACCTTCAATATAACCTATATATACATACTTCTCGAACACGAGATATCGAGCCGTAAAAATGAAAGAAGAAACAAAAATAAAAAACGCCATTTAACCTTAGGGAATTCAGCATCCAATAGGAACAAAACGAGAAAAGCTCCGTGCGATGCGGTCAGTATCCCGTGAGACAGAATGACGAAAAAGATAAAGGTTGAGTGTGCGAAACTTTATACCAAATGCTACTTTTTTGACTTATCACACGAGAACTTTTACGCAGCGACAAGTACGTAAATCGTTTGTCTTTCAAATTGATAGCAGTAAATTCTTACAAACGAAAATCTTAATTATATCCCCTAGAATATCGACCGTTGTTCAAGATAAATCCAGATTTATATGAAAGAGAGATGGCAGTAATGCTCGTAAAGATAGAAAATCTGTAAGTTCGCAGACGTAATCTACATAAGACTTCACTTTTCTTCTCGTCTCCATTTTTTTGCTTCAACTATTTCAGACCTAATTCGCTTCGCATTTGCGATAACATTTTTTTCTGCCGGCCGAATATTGAATTATTTGTTTTATGGCCAGCAGGAGTTATCGAAAAACCGTTTAACCATCTGAGCCTCTATCTATTCGGGTCTGCTGGGGTTGTCTCTTCGACCGCACTATTCGCACGATTCGGCGCAAAGCCATGTATACACGGGAGTATGAGCGTAAAGTGTAAAGCTTGTCGCTGATCCGTGACGACCTTTAAAGGGAAGCAACGATGGAAGCGCGGAAAGACAGGTTGCGTTTGAAGCGAAACCGATGGATCGATTGTCCCTAGGACGACGACAAGAGACCTTTCCGATAAAAGTGTTCGATTACATCTTTCACGGAAAACAAATGGTAGCTGTTTTAGGAGAATGCAACGATAATATAGTAGAAATGAGGAAATAGCGAAATTAAAACAACGCGCAGTAGATTTTTATATCTGAATTTACCTTCTATTGTATGTGTTCTTATTCGGGATTACAATTAGATAATTATATCATTCACGCATAAGCTTCAATAATATTTATCTGATAATTCCATTTTGCTTCTGCACTAAGAACTCGCGAAAGAATTGAAAGATATGAGATACATGCATTTTCAGAATAAATAAGGAAAAAGCACGAGAATATTATTATATATAAATAAATAATATTATTCTATATAAATAAAAAGGAATAATTTTCTAATACCTATAAGGAAAAAGTACAAGAATATTTTCTTAGCTCGCGGATGCAAAAAAACCAATAGTAGTAAGATATTTGTTACCCACTACAACCAAATTCTATATTATTCATATAAATTTGAATTAATAACTAACTTTAACTTTACTAATGTTGGAAGTTCAAAGAGGAGACATATCTATCTTATCCAAGGATACGCACAGTAATTCCGAGAAAATTAGGAGAAACACAGTTTATAAATTATAAAAGAATCTATGGTGCGCTTATGATTGAGTATTTTCAATGAACGTGCGAAAAGTGATAATCTCCATATATTCGTTCTGTTTTAGTACATTTCCGGAGTGGGGACGGGAGGACAGGCAAGCAACGTGAGCTACAGCAGCGTCAGTCAGAGCAGCGACGGAGGTGTGTGCGCGATCGGAAGTGGACTCTCTAGCGGCGGTATATGACGTCACACATCGGCCCGAACGGGGCCACGTCGAGATCGGGCTATTCGATTCCGTGACGCGTGATCGAAAATCTAACTGGAGAGATTGAAAACTTTTTGAGAAATCGTCTCACGCAACTCTTAGCTTCATTAGTATGAGAAAATATTAAGATCGATCGTGTCAAAAGCGTTGTTAGCGTATTTTGAAATGCTTGAAAAGTGTGATACGTCGTCACTATTACACATACCTGCAATAAAAAATTCGAAAATATCCGAAGAAATGCAAAGATAACTCGTAAAAAATGTTATCTAAGTTGTATCTGAATCGCGAAATATTTAAAAAATAAAATTTCCTATGTACTTAAACACAGCGGATTTATAAGAGCGCTTACTTGCTGTGTGTTAGAACGAGTTCTTGGACATTCTCATTTGTATAAAAATTGTATTAACGAGCAACTTTCGAGGCGCTTTTTGAAATATTCCGTCGCTATGTTATTTCTCTAAAAAACAAAGTGTTATAAGAACACTTTGAGTGTTATAAGAACACAAGAAATTAAATCGACGTAGAGGTAAAAAATTCGACTTGGTCAGTTCGGAAATAATGCGCTGCAAGAGACTGAGATTCTAAATGTTCTGTTCATGTATGTTAGATAAATCTCTTACAAAGGAAAACAAAACACTATATCCTTTTACACGTAAAGTTTCAACAAATTAAAATTTTCCGAAGACTGGTTGCACTACTGTACTACCTCTGATTATACTCGACTTTCGCGATTGAGTTAACGCGATACACAATTATTGGATCATTAAATATAAAACTTGACGTATATATATTTGTCAAGTTTCATACTTAATGATCCAGTATAATATACTATATAAAAAGCATCAATATGCGAAAATAAAATAATGCTAATAAAGCGACTAGGATCAATTATCTGATTGTTACTAGTGCGACCGCGCGCGCAAAACTATAATTGTGTGTAAGACCAAACTAGATACCTCTGTGACAAATTACATAGACTTGACCATTCAACAACATTTAATTGTTTGATAGTAAAAAAAAACACACACATACATATATATTAATGTAAATAAGTAACAAACAATAAGTATATATAGTGAATAACTAATATTCGAACACCACACAAGTTTTGTCGCGGTATAGTCTAAGATAAAAGCAAAAATATTTGTTGTATATTACATTATGGAATATTAAATTAGTTAAAAAGTATAAATTTAGTTAAATAATTGTTAAATTTAGTTAAAAATATAAATATAATTAAATATTTAATATTATTATGATAATTTGTAAATTAAACATGCCTTATTTTAAAGTTACAATAATATTTGGACACACACACATACTTGCTTATTATTTTAGATAACTTGAAGGTAATATTTGTAAATATTGTAATTTATTTATAAACATACAACATATGTATATTACTAAGCCTCAGAAAGCCTAGTCAATATTTATTTATTATCAATATTCGTTCAATGAAATGCAAAAGCAATACGTCTTAACATTCACAAATTTGTGATTTTTCAGAATAAGAAAAGGAAAATCATACAGAGAAATTGCTACTATATTTAATATAAGTACATTGTGAATAAGAATAACAATTATAAAAATATTATAAAAGACATTATTAAAAAATATAAATACGATTGTATAGAATCTATTCTACAAAAAGACTGGCCAAAAGCTCTAAATAATATATAAGTAATAAAAAAAACTTATTCAAAAAATAAAGAAAAATATCACAATAATGCAATGTTAGCTACTGTTGTTCTAGAATAGATTGGAAAAAGCCCATTCGCAAACGATTCACAGAATACTGAAAAAAAGTGAATATAATGTAGCTCGGAAAAAACAAAAAAAATATTTAAAAGAAGATTTAATTTTGTTAAAGAGTTTGTAGTAAAAAACAATACTTAAAATGATGTTATATTTAGTCACAAAATTAAATAAAACCTTTAATATAAAAAATACGAAGCTAAGTATTACACGAAAGTAGAAATGTATTTGTCTGGAAATGCATTTCAACATTCGGAGTTAATGAACTAGGTTTTATTGATAATAAGAGATAAAAATCTAAATTTTACTATTGTAAAAGATAATTTACTTAACAGTGCCACAAAAATAGAAATTAAAAACATGCTTAAGAACGTTCTCCGAATTATTGATTTTCCTATGATTTTCTTTAAATTTGCGATATACATAGTTTATGATTTTATTTATACGTAGCCTTTTGGATAATAGGGGTAGCAATGTTAAATTCCAAAATATAGAAGATTTAAGTTTCAATTTTTAACATGGATTTCCTATGCTGAGCCTTTGTGAAGTGGGGTTTTTTAAAGTTACTGACGACAATTTTTGTAGGATTTTTTTAAAAAACAAATATGTAGTACCGGAGAGTGTCTTAATTAAAATACGATTTTGAATAATATGGCAAGCAACCCTTGTTTTCAAACTGTAGCTTTTTTTTTGTTTTTTTTTGTTTTGCTGGATTTATGTGCGCTGTGTACTGCAGCTATTTTTGAACTTCTGCGCAGAGTAAGCGGGTCTTAGCAGTGCTGAATAGCTCAACTTAACGTTGTTACAGCAGTACAAACTTACTCATGAGAAGAGATATTTTAGGTTGCTAACCACTGTATTTAGGTTGCTAACCACTGTAGTCGGAGAACGTCCTTAAGGAGATCCTAAAGCTGTCCTGTTTTACCGATTGAATTTGTGGCTTTTGGCCGTCATTTCGTAGTAATATTTGCTGAATAAAAACAGTTATGCAGTTTATACATAGAAAACAAACTGCATCCCGGATTCGGGACAACATAAAGAACAATAAGAAGCTCTAAACAATGCGTTTCAAAGTGTAGTGTAAATGAATAGTGTGAAATATTTACGAAAATGATCCTGTATACTTCGAACACACTATTCATTTACATTAAACTTCTAATTTCTGAGAACTCTATATTATTCTTTATGTTATCTCGCATCCGGGATGTAGTTTGTTTTCTACGTATAATCTGCACAGCTTTTTATATTAAGGAAATATCACTACAAACTAACACAAAAAGTCGACTCAGTCGGTAAAAAAATACGACTCACTTTAGAATCCTTTTAAGTTTTATCTAGATAACAATTCGAAACAAAGCTCGAATTTCTCTCTGTCTTTCTCTCTCTTTCTCTCTCTCTCTCTCTCTCTTTCTCTCTCTCTCTCTCTCTCTCTCTCTCTCTCTCTGCAGGAATTTTTATATTGTATAAATAATTGTTCAAAATTACTGCAGTTATTTCGATTTTCAGATATCAATCCTAAATATTTAGGAGACAAATTAAATCGATTAGACAATTATCAATAACTTAAAAAAAAAAATGTTAAAACAAGGACTGCAAGAAGAGTAAAATATATATGTTATGGTCAAAGTCCAAAGTACGAGCGCCTCTCCCCACAAAAACCTAACCTAACTTAACCTAATCTAACCTATAATATGTCACAATAGAAGCGTACGTTGAAAAGTACTCTAAAAAAAATCATTTCGAGCTTTGACTTGTAAGACGCTTGATTGTTCCGCGCACTGACTAGTTAATAAATCTAAGACCTAAGACCGCCCGTGCTTCGGGCTTTGATCATATGTATACATGTGTATGTGTGTGTGTGTACAGTCTGATCTTTGAATAAGGTCTCTCGCAATAAGGCCGCTTCTCCTATTTTTTCAAGTTTCTCGCTCCAACGTTCCCCTACTTGGAAGCGGATGAAACTCGAGCTCGCATTTTGTTCGCGACTCTCTGAATAGGGCCGCGCTTCGAAGACATTTATCATATGATATGTTATATAGAAAAACATAGGTTCCTTTATGATAATTTAAAATTTTAGATTTATTTACTATTTATATAGTTAGTCATGGTGAAATACTTACGATTACAATGAGAATATTCGTCCAAAAACAAAATTAACACAGTGATTCTTGAGACGTAAGTACCAAACGCACGACTGCACAAGATACAGACCCTATTGAGAGAATTGCGCAACTTTTGCCGTGACAATCGCTGGCATTTTGGTGGGGATACTTGATTTCATGGAAATCTCTTCTTCTCTGGTTCCATCGCGACCCTATTGCGAGATCGGACTGTATACATATACAGAGTGTTGAAACACAAATATAGACACTTTTGATTATTTGAAATACGCATTTTTGAAAAAAATGTTTCATACAAAAGTTATAAGATTTTTAGTGATATATTACAGTAAAGTTATTATGACCTTGAATAGCGTTGTCAAGGTTATCTTTAATTTTTTACATAGAATGTTCTATTTTTCATAGCGTATATTTGTAGCCGACATTGAGATGTTTCAGAAACACTAGTTATAAACCTTTTTTTTCATAAGAACTCTCCGAGTTATGAAACTTGAAAATTACATCGGCATTAGAATTACTTAAGATATACACGCAAAAGTTGTCAGGACGGATTACATCTCTTTTGTGTGTGTATGTGTGTGTGTGTGTGTGTGTAACGGAGAGGATTTAGGGTCATAAAATACTGTGAGAGTGACGAATTTCAGGGGTCCTGATCTCTATTACATACAAGCATATCACACACACACACACACACACACACAAAAGAGATGTAATCCTTCCTGGCAGTGATGAAAGATTTGACCGGACAGCACCAAGAGCACCGAAGTAGTGGAGGCACGCACACAAGCAAGAACCGCCATTCATGTGCGTGACGTCACGCTCGGCACTTCGGCTCAGAGATGCCAGATTCTGAACACTTGGTAGCATGCGGTAGCATGGAGGGGATGCGCACACAACCTCAGATCGTGTACGTGTGCGCTCGAGCTTCGGGCGCGATCGCACACGTATACGATCTGAGGTTGTGTGCGCATCCCCTCCATGCTACCGCTGCTACCGCATGCTACCAAGTGTTCAGAATCTGGCATCTCTGCTTCGGCTTGTGGAAAAGTGCGGACATACTATATTTTGTCTCCTTTCCACCAAGCTTGCTATAAGGCAAGCCACGGAAGCATATTCACGTTGCGCGCTTGTTGCATATCGTCACTCCCTACGTATAATCCCGTAACTCCAAAACGCAAATTTTAGAGGAGAGCAGTTTAAAAGTATAAAGCTTCATATGTTTCCCTATAGTTAGGGATCTTTCGATTTCACATTTGTACCTTATTTATGAATATTTTTTTTTAATATTTGGTGACCATAAAGAACATGACTTTCTAAGTGTCATTATGCAATAAACTGAAAATCCCATATGTGACACTTATGTAATTATACGTAGGGAGTGACGATATGACAACGTAAAATTATTTTCCAAGATTTACAGTCTTGAAAAAAGTACATAATATTATTGATAATGATAGGTTAAACATCTCAAAATGCATTTATTATTATATGTTAAACTTATGCTACATAACAATTGACATTCAACCTGTATTTAAGAGTTATGTATAATATTTATATATTTATAAAAATTTTCCGAGAGTTGCAGTCTTAAAAAAGTACGTAATATTATTGATAGTAGTAAAACATCTCAAGATGCTTTATATATTTTTCATAATAATTAACTATGAGTGTGTGTGTGTAAACTGCAAACATTTAAAAGTTTTTAGATTATTAAAAAACATTTAACATACATAAAGAAAATTTATAGTGTTCATTTTTATATATTTTTGTTTTGTAAATTATGATAGAAAGAATCTATGTTTTACAGATATATAATCTTAAAGTATTTAAATAATATTATACGAATTCATTAATTAATTTATTATATTCAGATAATATGTTAAGTGAATTAAATACTTTCAGATTATCTGTAAACTGAAGATTCTCTTTTTGTAATTTACAAATTATAAATATATAAGAATTAATACTAATAATATATTTATATATATTAAATGTTTTTCAATATTCTAAAAACGTTGAAGTTATCACAGTTAACTCATTATAAAAATCACTAAAACTATAATAATAAATGCACCTTGAGATGTTTAACCTATCATAATCAATAATATTATGTACTTTTTCCAAGACTATAAATCTCTTGGAAAAGCATTTTACGTTGTCATATGCAACAAGCGCGCAACGTGAACATGTCTCCGTGGCTTGCCTTATAGCGGGCTTGGTGGAAAATAAACGGAACATAGTATGTCCGCACTCT